TCAGTAGAATTATGCCAATTTGAGTAACGATAATCACGTGGTTCAATACTTTTGACCGGGAAGTGTATTTAATTCTATAGTTATCATTAAACTTTAACCATTAACTATTTTTAATTTCTTATAAACTTAAATTTAATTTTTGATTGATATTTTTTACAATGAATGGTACAAAAGAAATTTTTGAGGCATATAGAAAATTTATACATCCCTAATTTATAATATTTTAATAGACTGTCAAAAAATTTTCGTCAAAAATAAATTTCAGCAAATGTCAAAGCATTTTAAAATAAAAAGTTCATTCGAAAACATTTTTTTGACTACGACAACAAATGATGATATTTTACACGTTCTGTTATTAACAAGGATAGTACAATACAATAAATTCATTGTATGTAATAACAACTAATGAACACTTTGAGGATTTCAGCCTAAAATTTTGAAAATGTTGAAAGACTATTGATCGGAACAAAATAATATTCCAATCAAACGTTGCATTAATAAATTTGAGTAGAGAAAAGAGAAACAAATTATTTTTCCTATTTACTTCTCGGATAAAGTAATTATACACGAATATAATAAAATTGAATTAGACGAGTTAGAGCTTGAAAATTAGATATAAACAGATTTAATGTATCGCCGAGAAGCATTTTACTAGAGGAACATATTTAGAATATCAAATTTAATAAAAAAACATTAAATTTGATGATGATAATATTCTAAATCTTAAATTATATTTAAATTTAAAAATTAAATATAATAATAGATTATATTAAAATCTTTATAATAACCTTTGAATACATATTTAAGCAATGAAGTTTTTAAAATGAAATCTCGCATCAACCTTGCTATTTTCTCTGAAGCGAGAGAAGCAAAATGAATGGAGATTAGAATCGCTTAACCGATATAACAACGCAACGAGGCTTACTGATTTTTTGATTACATTAGAGAAATTTATTATTAATTTAAACCGGAATCGTCAACTATTTTAACGGTAATCGACACGGATTTTTTTATATTATAGTAGATTATCGGATCGACAAAAAGTAACTCATGGTGAAAATAAATCAAGTATAAATAAAAAACAATAATTATTTTAATCAATTAAACGTTGTTGGCTTGGTATCTGTAAACTTAAACGATAAACTTTTAATTCAATCTGTCGAATTAAATACAAGACAATATCACAATCACGCCTATATGAAGACACGACAAAAGGCAAATAGTAAATGAATTTAAAGATTCCTTTATTGAACTCTTGGTTTTATCCTAAAACCCTATCTCAAGTTATTTTTCAACTCAAGGGATACAAGATATTTATATAAAATAATATAAAAGATAAAATAAATAAATAAGTTAAATATAACTACTTTACTAACTACGATATAATTAATAAATATAATGATTATAATAAATGATTATAATAAATATAACTACTCTATTTAATGTATTAAATAGATCAACGATGATCACTTTAGCAACTTGGTCTAATTTGTCCACTTTGTTAACTTTGTTAATCATTTTGATCACATGACTAATTAAGGCGCAGTCACAGATCACGGCTTCAAACGTCAGTTCTATTAATAATTTTATATTATCATATGGGAGTCTTTATACCTTTATCCATTTCCAAACTAATCTTGTTTAACATTTCGTTCATTTCCACTGCAATCTAATCTTTCATTTGAAAACACGTTAGGAAAATCATTCCAAGGTCAGTTTTACGAAATTAGTAAAATATATTTTCCATCTTTATACAATATAGTCATGGTGAAGAAAAAAAAATTAAAATAATATTTAATGTGAAATAGTTTCAACGATACTTTCAATTTTTTTTAGTTTTACGCATAATCGTTCATAATCATTCAATCCTTTCTACTTTTCCTTTTGGTAATTTAACAGACATCCATTGTTCCATAGATAGTGTTTGTATCTACTTTTTTGTTTTCTTTGGCTATCATTATTAATATTACGATTAGCAATTATATTTAAATATTCACGAATTATTGAAGGTTCTGCCTGAATGCAATGGTTTGCCCTAAATGTTCTTCATTATTTCTGGTATACCTTTTGTTCAATATTTTGTACAAGCATTTACGTGTTGCTTCATTACGCCCAGATGCCTTTTCACTTGCACTTAAAAAATGTATCCAAACATTTTTTCCCGATCGTCCAATTTTTCGATTTATATCTTCGTTGCTACTCATTATTATTATATGGGTTGCGTTGGGTAAAATAAAAAGGAAAAAAAAAATTTTTTTTTATATTCTACGATTTTTATATTAAAACCCGTCCCATTTTATTAAGTTGTTATCGAAATCGTCGAAACTTTCGAGACCCATTGAAGCCCATTGAAAATATCGAACCCATCAAAACCTATCGAAATTTTCGAAATAATTTCTGAAAAGTTTCGACATTTGCCAAAATGGGTTTAGGGTTTTGACCCGCAAATATATTCATAACAGCGATAATAGAGGTAAATGTATTAACGTTAATAGCTAACTTATCGGAATCCTTTCGATTTTTTGTGTAATACAGATTTTACCCATATGCGATCATATGAGGCGCAGCAACTGCAAGTCATTGAAATATAACCATTATGATTTAAATTTTGGTCAACGAATGACCAATTTGGGCCTTAGTAAGGATATTTAACAAAAGTGAATCATTTGCTTGACATTCGTTACTTACGTTACCTTGATTTTGTCACCACCACTTGTCATCCGTGATACAACGCATGCAGGCGAATCTATATAAATGTTAACCAAATAAGGGATGGATGATTATCCCCTTTTTCATTTATTTTTAATTTTTTCTTATAAAAAAAAAGGAAATTTTTGATTTAATAAAATAAACTATGACTTACAAAGGATACATGATCAATTTATTTTAAGTTATTTATTCGTTGTAATTGAGTCATTTATTCCTTTAGGGCGTATGGCTCATTCTTCTGTCTTAGTTGAAAAAAAGCTTTATTTTTTTGGCGGAATGAAAGATGATAGTACTTGTTTAAATGAGGTATTCTACCTTGATTTATCTCAATCATTTAATTCAACTTTTCCGCCATGGATTGACCTCACAAAAGATGCCGGAATACCATTTCATAGTTGTTGGGCAACTGTTTCACTAAGTGATAAGGAGCAAACTATTTATTTATTTGGCGGATTTATGGTTGACGCTGCGAATCAAGACCATTTTGTATCAATTGTTCATTCATTTGATTTAAAATCTATAAGGTGGAATATACCTAATATCAAAGGAACTCCGCCCATAAGACGTAGATCTTCAAAGGGTGTTATTGATGACACCGGAAATATCTATTTTTACGGTGGACTTAATTTAACCCCACCAATAAAGCCTCTTGATGATATGGTTGTTTTAAATACTATCGAGTCATCATGGTCAATTAATGTTCCAGTTAATTCACCTGATGCTCGAACTGGTCATACTGCAACATTATTATCGAATGGAGCTATTGTTTATATTGGTGGTCGTATGTTAATTGAAGGTAAATCTCAATTAGTTGACATTAGGCAACTTTACCTTTATGATACGAAATTCTCAACTTGGTCAGAAAAAGTAGGTATTCCTGTCGATGATTGCAATACTTAATAAATAAATTAATTAATGTGCTGTAAATTATCTTCTTTTAGATAGCGAAAACTTCAAACATAATTGAAAATCGTAGTGGACATACGGCGGTGTTAGGTATTAGCTATAGTGTTGTCAGTTGGTTATTTCATTTAAAATCAATTTATATAATTTTTTTCAATATTAAAATAGCTTCAGCTGATAAAATAATTATTTATGGAGGTTCTGATGTCACAAATAACGATGCTCAAGTTTTGCCAGATACAATTGTTTTAAACATGGAAACAGAAACGGATCAATTTGAATTTACTGTACCACCAGTTTCATATAATGTCGTTCAAGTTCCATCACTTACAATTCATACAGCTAACCTGGTTGAAAATTTTATGATCGTAGCATTTGGTAAGCAAACTTTTACAATAACCTATAGAAAATGATTTCTTAAACAATTAATTTATTATTTCAAATAATTATAATGATAGGAAATATTACGCAACAAAATTCTAGTCCATTCTATCAAACTAATCGTAATATTTATATAATGGACACTAGAAATTATACGTGGGTTGATTATTTTGAATTGTCAACAAATACAACAACGCAACCATCTCCAACGGCTCCCGTAATTATTGTCACAAATTCTGATAGTAAATCTGTTACAATGAAAATGATAATCGCAGCAATTGGAGGAATTGTTGGCACCACTATAATAATAGTTTGTGGACTGTTAATTTATAAATGGAATGAACATAAGAAAAACCTATCTACTTTTCGAACTGCTAAGCATACAGATAAAGAACATAATTTATCCGAAGTAGTGATGTAACATCACCCGACGAGCAAAGGTGAATGCCCAAAAACATTATCAAAATGTATAAAATGCGTTCAATCCTACGCAAAATATTGCGGAACTGGCTATTCTAAAACATATAAAATTCTGAAATAAAAATCCACATAATAGAATTTGGCATATAGCTTTATTGGTTTTTCATACAAATTCTTATTTTGCATATTCCCTTTAATAAAACTAGTATAAATGCATATATCCCATTTTTTCCTGTCCGGGATACCTATAATAAATCGTTACACGAATTTCACAATTTATTGGACATCAAAAAATTAAGATTTCAATTTTATGCTTTTTCATATTGGTGTGCTTGGTAGTCAAGTTTAGATAATGATTATTCTGATATTTGCCAAATTGTTTCCATGATTATCGAGCACTATTTTTTTTATTATTTATGAGACGTTATTTTTCGATACATAGAGTTCTACATAAATTTCATTCTGTCTGTTCTGTGCGACTTTACTTTGTTTCGCATGTGCTCCGAAATATCAAGCCATAAATTTTTTTTATTTCATTAAGTAAATTTCTTATACAAAGAACCAGATATATTAAACGATATCAAAAAATGGAGAAAAACCTTTTAGAATCGTTAAATAATTTTATTGACAAAAAAAATTCAAAAAAAAACCTATCAGATAATATCATTATCCCTCGAGTAAAGGATGAAGACATAGTTTATCACTTGACATTTTTATCAATTTCATTTAAGTCAATTTTTCAAGGATCATTGACCAATACTGGTAGATTTATAATGACGGCGTGACGTGAAAATGTCAAATTTTCTATCGCCTCGACCATTTAATAGTTTTTAAATTAAATTGTTAGGTGTACAATTATATAATAGTGATAACAAGCGTCTGATATTATGTTCTCAAAATTTTTAAAAAATGATCTAATCACGTGCCTTTAGTCGCAACATTTGAAATTCATCTTTTAATTAAGCGATTTTTTGAATAAACATATGATTAATATAAATACATCTTGTAATTCGGACAAAAATAATTACCACTCCTGTAACTTTAACAATTTTTCTAATTGCTCACGATGGATCAGACAATAAACTCACTTTAGGTAATATCTGAACCTAATCTTTATATATATGGAAAAAGTTAAACAATACAATTAAACACAATGAGGAATTCTTTTGGAAGGTTGGAAGATCAAGTACATAAAAGTATTTTTTCCGATGGCTTAAAATTTAAACGTTACATGATTTACCAAGTGCATTTGTTTTTTTACTTTTATTCAAGAACTTTATCATTTTTACAAAAATTAAAAAAAAAAAAAAAAAAACAAAATGCAAGATTCCAATGAGTGGATAAGTTCTATTGAAGATTATATTGTAAGAAATAATATCAAATGTTTCGAATACGAACGTTTTAGCTATGTTCAAAAAATCGGTTCTGGCGGTTTTGGAAATGTCTATCGTGCAAATTGTAAAAATTTAAAACAAACTCTAGCGTTAAAATCCTTTAATAACCTTAACAATGCCACTGTCATAGAAATAATTCGTGAGGTAATTACAAATTATAATATTTGTTTCGTATTAAATCATATATATATCAAACAAACTATCAATTTTTTAGATCGAACTTCAACGTGAAGTCGATTTTCATGATAATATTATTCGTTTTTATGGAGTGTCTTCAAAACAAGGTAAACAAAATTTATAATAAATTTTATCAAAGGTACAGTATATGTTGATATTTTTATTTTTATTTTTATCATTGATTCATTTATATATTTTTAAAAAATTAGAAAAACAAAATGATCAATCGAAAGAGTATTTGTTAGTTATGGAATATGCAGATGGAGGTACACTTAGAAACTATTTGAAGGATAATTTTGATAAGCTTACTTGGGATGATAAATACAACTTTGCATTTCAGTTGGCTAATGCTGTGTCGTGTCTACATGAAGAAGGAATAATACATTGTGATTTGGTAATGTTATATAATTTATGTACATCTTATTTTTTTTTTATTATTGCTAACTAATAATTTAATAAATAATTTTATATATATAATAGCATTCTGACAATATTTTAATTCATCAAGGTATAATTAAACTTGCTGATTTTGGATCATCGAAAAGAGTTGATGCGACAACTAAACAGTCAAAAGTCTTTGGTGTAATGCCTTATGTTGATCCAAAAAGGTATAATAGACAAAAAAGTAGTGTCAGTACATCTCAGCAAGATGATTTAAATGAGAAGAGTGACGTTTACAGTGTTGGCGTGTTGTTATGGGAGATATCGAGTGGACGTCCTCCTTTTTATGTTGAAGAACAACCTTACAACTCATTAGCTATAAACATTTCACTAGGTTATAGAGAAACTATTGTTCCGGGTACACCTGAAGATTATGTAAAAATTTATACTGGTATATATAATATTTTATTTTTAAGAATATGTAAACCATATGATTTCGATCATTAATCATTTTTATATGATTTTAGAATGCTGGGATAATGAGCCAAACAATCGCCCAGCTATGAAAAAAGTAATCGAAGAATTAAATGCAATTATTACAAAAACAAATATAATAATAGAAAATGATCAAATGAAAAATGATGAATCAAACCTTCAATTGACATCATATTCATCACATGGAGAATTATACAAAATTATTAATAATTTTGATCAAATGAACGTAGAAGAATTAGAATCGAATAATGAAATTTCAGTCATCAATTACGATGTCGATAGTTTAACAATTACGGACTCTAATAAGGATGACATATTAAAAGCATTAGGAGGGTTGCAAAGATATCAAAAATTACAAGTGCTTCGCTGTGATAGTACTCAAATAACCGGCTTACCAACTTTACCCAATACTTTAAAAATACTCTGGTGTCATAACGCGAAGATAACAAGCTTACCAATTTTACCTAACCTCTTAAAAATACTTAATTGTCATCAAACTCAAATAAATCGATTACCAACTTTACCATACTCTTTATCAGTACTTGTATGCTCCGAGACTAAATTAAATAGCTTGCCAACTTTACCCAACTTAACAGATCTTTATTGTCATGATACACAAATAGCCAGCTTACCAACATTACCCAACTCCCTAAGAATACTATATTGTCATTCTACTCCAATAAATATTTTACCAACTTTACCAAACTCTTTAGAAATACTCGATTGCCATTATACTCAATTGACTAGTTTACCATCTTTACCCAACACCTTAACTGAACTCCATTGCTCTAATACTCAAATAACCAGCTTACCAACTTTACCTAACAATTTAACAATACTATATTGCAATGAAAATCAAATACTTAGTTTACCAACTTTATCATACTCCTTAACGGAACTCTATTGCCATTCTACTCAAATAAAAAGATTGCCAACTTTACCAAACTCTTTAGAAATACTCAATTGTCATTCTACTCAATTAACTAGCTTACCATCTTTACCATACTTCTTAACTGAACTCCATTGCTCTAATACTCAAATTAATAGCTTACCAACATTACCCAATTCCTTAAATAAACTTTATTGCTATGAAACTCAAATACTTAGTTTACCAACTTTACCATACTCCTTAACTGAACTCCATTGCTCTAATACTCAAATAACCAACTTACCACCTTTACCTAACATCTTAACAAAGCTATATTGCAATGAAACCCAAGTAAATAGATTACCAACTCTACCAAACTCCTTAACGGAACTCTACTGTAATCATACTCAAATATCTATTCTATCAACTTTACCAAACTCCTTAAAAAAACTCCATTGTGGTAATACTCCAATAACCTACTTACCAACTTTACCAAACTCCTTAACGGAACTCCGTTGCAACAATACTCAATTAACTATCCTACCAACTTTACCAGTCTCCTTAACAGAACTCTATTGCTATGAAACTCAAATCTCTATACTACCAACTTTACCCAATTCCTTAATAAATCTCTGGTGTTTTGATACACAAATCAGTAGATTACCAAATTTACCCGATTCTTTAATTGATATCAAACCTATTTCTTTATATAACGTTAAATATTAAATATTTTCATCTCTCATCCTTTAAATTATTTTGCAGCAATAATTTATATGTATCTGATGTTTTGTTTCAAATATGAAATGTAAATTTTGGTTTGATTTCAAATAACCAATATTATTACAAGATTCTTTTCCTTATTTTAATACAAAGTATTACTCTTTTCCTCCTAATATATTTCCTCCATATTTGGTAATTTTGGATTAGAATTTTTACGGGTGCGGTAAAATGAAATTATGTTTGTTGGTAGGTTTTACGATTTGGTGTAAATAGAAATACTAGCTATAACATTACAACTGTTTGAATTGGCCACGCAAATTAGCATTTTCGGTTCACGTAACATTAAAATTTTAAAATTGACCCGGTTGTTTATTAATAAAAAAATTTTATATTTAATCGTAACGATGTGATTGGTTAATTTTAAGGAGTAATTAATTTTAATCGGATGGTGAGTTGAGTATTATGAATGTTCAGTTGGAAGTAAAAAAAGAGAAGATACATATAAAAAAAAAAATTAAATAAACCAAGAAATGACTGTTAATACCCTAAAATTCGTATTGTTACATTGGATATAATTCCACCCGAAAAAATCATATATTTCCTTGTGATACTCATAACCCATAACGTAACACCTCAAAAACTGGGTTCGAAAGTAAGTACTTAAAGATTTTCGTATTTACATATCCAGAACCTTCCTACAGATGATCCATAAAGCAATCATTCCTAAATATTTGATAGCTGATATAGAAATCTTTGCCTTGAACCCAATAAAATAATATTTATCAGATCACATATTGTAATTGTTTTATATAATCAGTTGGCAGAGAAACATTCATTGGAATTTCCCAAGAGGCTATTCTAATGAAGATTTTGTGGATGGACTTGAAAAAATTCAAGTCTCCTGATAAAGTTTTATTTACTTTATTTATTTCAGATATAATCCAATTTTTTTTTTTTGAAAATCGAGTTATGTACACTTCCCGGTCAAAAGTATTGGACCACGTGATTTTTATTATACTAATTGGCGTAATTTTTCCGATTATAACTTGTGATCCAATGCATAAAATGAGTCAATATTTTTTTCCTGCATAGCTACAAACTTCTTGTATTCGAATATAATTTTTTTAAAATGCTCAAAACCCGAGAACTTTCTGAAATTAAGCGAGGTGAAATAATTGGCCTTTGGAAAGGTGGTCATGTTGAGCGAGATATTGTAAATATTCTTGACCATCCTAAG